GCGATATGCCCCGCAGCGCCTATGTACACCACAATGCTCGCGTACACCACAACGCGCGTCTACACCACAGCGTCTGCGTACACCGCGACAGCCGTGTGCAACGCAGCGCCTGTGTACACCACAGTGCTTGCGTGCACCACAGCGCCAGTGTACACCACGGCGAAATGTGTACACCGCAGTGCTTGCGTGCCCCGCAGCTCCTGTGCACACCACAGCGCCTGTTTACACCACAACATCCGCGTGCAACGCAACGTTGATGTACACCTCAGTGCATGCGTGCACAGGACAGGGAAAAGGAGCATGTAGGTGAGGATCTGCTGCGGACAACTAAACGCCACGCCAGGGAAGTGCTGATAATAGAATGCGACGTTCTTCCCTCCTCCCTCCCCCTCCAACTCCACCTCCACTTTCTTGCCTCCTCCTTCTCCTCCTCCTCCTTCTCCTCCTCCTCCTCCCCCTCCTCCTCCTCCTCCATTTCCTCCTCCTCCTCCTCCTCCTCCTCCTCCTCCTCGCCCACCCTTCCCCCTGTCGTGCGGGTCGGCGCTACAGCGCACGTGCGCAGCTCAGCGTGAAACGCAGAATGGTCTATTGAATCAGTCCACTTGGTTCTCGGACGGCCAATTCTGCTGAAATCTCCTGGACGCAGATGAGAGGAGTTAGGATGATGCGGGAGGACTCGGGAGGACTTGTAGATTCCAGCGGCGCTCCATTTTCCATAAGGATTCCTTTCCAAATCCCAGACAAAACCGTTGTTTTCTGTGGAATCCACTGGCGTTCCATTTTGTCATAAGGATTCCTTCTCAAGTTCTGTATATGCAGCAGTGGTGGTCTGTTGCGCACGCTTGCTGCGGAGCACGCAGGCGCCGTGGTGTACACAGGCGCGGAAGTGCACGCAGGCATCGTGTGTACACTGGTGCTGTGTTGCACACAGCTGATGTGGCACACGGTGTACACAAACGCTGTGGTGCTCGCAGGCACTGTGGCACACTCTGGCGTTGTGTTGCACGCGGCTGCTGTAGTGTACATCGGCGGTGTGGTGTACGCAGGCGCTGTGGTGCATGCAGGCACTGCGGTGTACACAGGCGCTATGGACGGTCAATCCTCAGCATTACCAGACGCCGTCGGCGCGAAACGTGGCGTCATCGGCCCCCTCTCCCCCACCAGATGACGGCCGTCATCGGCCTGGAATAAAAAACAGGCTCCAGACGCTCGTCAGAAGCCTTTGCATAGCTTGCCATAAACATCCGATGAGCTTCATAAGAAGCTCAGAAAAGCTGATCAACCTCTGATGAGCTTCTTGAGCGCCTCTGAAGAGCTGATCAGGAGCCTCTGATGAGTTCCTTGACAGCCTAGGGGGCTCGTGAGAGACTCTCGAGAGCGGTTTGTAAGAGGCTCTGAGACACAAGAAGCCACCAGGACATAGAAAGGCCCACCGAAGTACAGAGAGAGCCCGAATGGAACACCGAAGGTCCCAACGGGGAAAAGAAAGACCGTGAGTCACTCCCTCCCCACTCCCCTGGCCAACAACCAGCTCTTCCTCCTCCTCCTCCACCTCCTCCTCCCCAACATCATCGCCTATAGTTCTTCCTCCCATCGCCTCCTCCTCCTCCTTTTCATATCCTCCTCCGTCCTCATCCTACTCCTCCTCCATCTTCCTCCTCCTCCTCCTCCACGCCGTCGGTGTCGTCGTGGTCGTCATTGTCATCATCGTCTTCGCCGCCCCCGTCGTCGTCGTCGTCCTCCTCCTCCTCCTCCTCCTCATCATCAGCATCATCGGCATCAACGTCACTAACTAGGGAACCGAACTCTATACTCCGACGCCTTTGTCTGGCCTCACACTGAATCTTGCATAAGAAAGCGGATCCTGGTGTATACGGGATCCTGGTGTATACATGATTCGCTGTTTGCCCCGGAAAACGGCGGAAAAAGCATACACCACACCACCCCGACGTCGTCCCCGACCCTCAAAGAAGTCCTTGGATTGAGAAGCCGCCCACCACTGGTAATGTATATGTTCCAGTTTCCGACTAGCATCATCACCATCATCGTCATTAGCATCATCATCAGCAGCAGCATCTCCATCATCGGCGTCATCATCAGCAGCCTCATCAGCTTCATCTTCATCTTCATCTTCATCTGCATCTGCATCTTCATCTTCATCTTCATCATCACCGTCATCATCATCATCAGCATCATCATCGTCGTCATCACCATCCGCCACATCATCATCGTAATCATCATCAATATCATCATCATCATTATCCTCATCGCTATCAGCATCACCATCATCATCACCCGCATCAGCATCACCGTCGGTATCATCATCAGCAGTAGGAAAAGACCCATCACCATCCTCATCATCATCAGCAACAGCATCATCATCAGCAACATCATCGTCATCACCACCACCAACATCGTCATCATCACCACCACTATCATCATAATCAGCAGCATCATCATCATGATCAGCATCATCATCATCATCATCATACTCATACTCATACTCATACTCATACTCATACTCATACTCATACTCATGCTCATACTCATACTCATACTCATACTCATACTCACACTCATCATTATCAGAATCATCAGCGTCATCATCACCACCATCATCAGCAGCATCATCGTCATCACTATGTTGACCATCATCATACTCATACTCATACACGTCGTCATCATTAGCATCATCGTCATCATCATTACCATCAGCATCATCATCCGCGTCATCATCTTCGTCGCCATCACCATGGTGATCAACCCGTCCTCCGTTCCTGCTGATCCTCTTCATCGTCCTTCTCCCTGTCCTTGTCCCCGTCTCCCTCCTGCTCATGCTCATCATCATCTTCCTCGTCCTCTTCTTCCTCCTCCGTCTCATCCTCCACATCTTCCTCCTCGACCTCCTCCTCCTCTTCCTCGTCGGGGAGGTAGAGTAGATAAGCAACCACATCGTAGATGTCAGGGGCATCCCGGGACTATCCTATTTCTCGTCATCGTCCTCTTCGTCCTTCTTCTCATATTCCTTCCTCTTCCTCTTCCACGCCCCCATCATCTTCCACCTCCTTTCCCTCCTTCTCCTTCGTCTCCTTCTCCTCCTCCTCCTCCACCGCCTCCTCCGCATCCGCCTCCTCCGCCTCCTCCTCCATCCTCCCTCCGCCTCCCTCCTCCTCCTCCTCCTCCTCTCTCCTCCTCCCTACTCCTCTCTACTCCTCCTCTTCCTCCTCCTCCTCCTCCTCCTCCTCCTCGACCTCCTCCTCCTCGACCTCCTCCTCCTCCCTCTCTCGTTCCTCCTCTTCCTCCTCCTCCTCCTCCTGTTTCTCCTCCTCGTGCTCCCCTTTCTCCACCTCCTCACCCCCCTCATCATCATCATCACTCGCATCGCCCGTCCTGCTTATTATGCGCTCCTGCTGCTGCTACTGCCCCTCGATCCCGCCTAGTGAAATACATGCATGCCGTCTCTGGAAACCCAACGGAAGTGTCTGGTACTCCTCACCAGCGGAGGAGGAAGAGGAAGGGGAAGCAAGACTGGAATGACGTAGGAAAAACCACGCGTGCAAAAGTTTCGGCCCAAATAGTGCGTTTGGCCATCCGCTGCGCTTCGTCGGGAAGACACCATAGCTCCTGGTGCAAACTCGAGGGCATGTCGGTAACGTGTCCCAAAAGAAACTCAGGTGGCGGACATGCGCGCAGTGAGAAACGCCGTGGGGGGAATCGTGTTTCATTGGTGCAGTGCCCCCCCCCCACAAACACACACACACACACACACATACACACCAGACACATTAATGCACTTGTCCAGAATGCTGCCGCTCGCTTTCGAACCTGCATGCCAGGTATGGCCGCAGCAGGGCGAAGGCAGTTTTGTATTTGCGACGTCTCATGGAGCAAACACGACCTGAAAGGATGACTCAAAATGGGCTGCGTCGGACGAACCTCATGCAGATAACACCGCTGCAGTTGAATGGCATCGAGCATTCACTAGCAAGCAGTTAGGCGCACGATGCGCGAAGGCTGGAATAAAATTGTCATGCCACTTCCCAGCATGAGCGGAACCTCATTTCCTATAGTTGAGGTCAAACAAGCAACGCTCCTGATCGGATTGATGGCCAAACCAATTACTAAATATGTGCTCGACTCGACAAGAGCGAACAATTTGGCTCGGAATCGCGGACTGCGCCACTCTGAAATAAATGATGCAGCTGCGCCATGCCGACTTCGACGCAACCTACATCAGCTCATGAGAAAATTTACGAATCGCGTCTCAAACCATATAGGCAGATCGCGTCACCGATGCTGCATTATGCAGGGACTCTGCGTGTTGCCAGCATCATCCAAATTGCTCGACCAATCTTATGCCACACTTTGCCCTCTCAGCCGTCTGTCTTAGTGAGCACTTGCGTGGAGTGCCAGATACGTTGCTTGGTAGGACTTCTGTAGTTGTTCTATGTCTGCCCACCCACCCACTCATACCATGTCGAGCAGATCCCTAGAACATCGCCCACCCCCATAGCGTCGTTCGCAGGCGCTCTTTTCGGCCTCCTCGCGTTTCCAAGACAGCCGACAATCGCTCAAGAACTGCTGCAAGATGTCGCAAGATCCGCCCAAGATGCCAATACGCCCCGAGAGGCCCCCAGAACGCCCCCAGGAGACGCCCAAAGCGTCTGGCGAGGCCCGAAGGGGGCAAACACCATGAGAACCTCACGGGGAACGGATGCGTTTTGCTTCTGAGGCTTGTCCGGTCCAGGTCGCCTCGGGAGAGTCTGGCCCAGAGGCGGCTCCCAACGGGCCCTCAACTGGCTCCTCACAGAGACCGAGGAGGCTCCGAAGAAAACCCCCCAGAAGCTCCACAGAGGCCTTCAAGAGGGTGGAGGGAGGAGGGGGGAGGCAAGAGCAAGGAGAACAAACGAGGCTGCGAACAAAGATGATACGTTCAAGACCCGCATCAGTTTAGACAGAGCACTGGATTGGAGCGGGCCATCAATTCGAACTCCTCCACCTCACTGCAAGCACGCAGCGGGATCTTCAACTGTGGGAATGAAAGCGTGCTCGCACAATCGAGAAATCTGGATTACTGGAACATGGCGTGGCGTGCTGAGCACCCGCCCCTGTAGCTGCCAATCAACTCTCGTTGAAACACGGCAAATCAAGCACAATAAACCGCCTCTCTCCGAAGATCCGCCACCGCGCTTCCAGCGGTTGGTGTGTGTCGGGCGTTTGCTTTTGTTCGCTCTGTCCGCTTCTTGCGAGGCTGACTAGGGCCCCCCGACGTATCTGGCCCAAGATGCGTGCATTTGTTGACCCAATCCTGCTTTGGGGGCTCTTCAGATAAGCAGTGGCTCCGAAATCAAAGCTGAGAGTAGCTGGGTGCCGTGGCCACTGCCACTCCAGGGCGCCCTCCACCCCCGCGCCCCCGCCGCCCCCGCACCTCTTCGTCCCCGTCCGCATCCCCCACCCCTCCGACCGCGCGAGCGCGGTAACGGAATCGTGCGGCAGCGCAACTGGATAATTCACAGCCTCTTTTCGAAGATTCTTGCGAGGAGCTTCATTGCACGTGAAGGAAACAGACGGCTGTAATCGCGGGTATGACGGATATATCCAGATGGCGTCCTCAACGAGGAAAACCGGATCTTGAAAATTCAAAACTCGGGTGCCCCGCCACTCGGCGTGGTAGAACGTGGGGTCATCATGGAGGCCAGTCCCGATGACCACCACGACATACCAATGCTCGCCGCTGCAGTCGAGCACAGGCTGAGCGCCCGAGCGCCCGCAGCCACGCCCTTTTCCCATGACCCCCACCCCCGTCTGGCAGATCTGAGCTGGCGGCGTGGTGGTCGTAATCCAACTGGTTTTGGCTTTAGCTCGAGCCCAGCGCATTCTCGAAGAGGCGCAGCTGCTATAACAAGTCCCGGGGCTCGGAGGCTTCAACGAACCACTGATCCCTCGAGGAGACCACTTGAAATTTACCGCGGGATCGATCTGGCGCCGCTCGCATTCCAATGCAGATCAGTTAAGGACATCGTGGAAGATTCGTGCCGACTCCCGACATCTGCAGGATGCAAATGTTCGTGGAAGGGGTATGGGAGGAGAGGGGTTGTTGAGGGGAAGGGAAACAAGGAGAGGGAGGGGAGGAGAGGCAAAGAGAGGGGGGGGAAGGGAAGTGTATTATAAAGGAAGACTCTGGCGACGTCCATCGAAGTCTGCTCTGGACCTCGAACCAGGATATACCCCAGTGTGACCGGATAGTATTCACCTCCGAGCAATCCCATAAGACAATGTTGCACCCCCTGCTCATTGTGAGGTGCCAACATTCGTGCACCAATACCCTCTTCCCGTTGTTTCTAGCTCCTCCACATCGCACCACCTGACACGCGTGCAGGGCGGGTCAGGCATTTCGGCTGCTAACTGCTCGCGGCCGATGACCCTGAATGTCCAAACTTCTAACAAGCACACGGCTCAAAGGCTGGTGGAGTTGAGCATCGCACTGCTTTTTTGGAACTCTCCGCAATACATGGCCCTGAAAAGCCATGCTTCGAATGCTTACGTTGGCCAATTCTGTAGAATACGTTTCGCAGATTTACGGCAAACTGTTTGCCTCCCCCGCTTCAGGCGCTCCAGGAGGGCGGGGTGCGACGTCGCGCTTAGGCCAAGCTGTCAGAAACAACAGTTCTCACATTGCAACACCCCACGTATTCCACATCTACGTGTCCCCAAATGGGGCTGGACGGCACGTGTTGAAAGGCGCGCTCTCACGTGGGATCACTCACAACGTTGCATCTCGAGCACCCAAACAAAGGAGCATTCATGGACGGCGGTGAGCTTTCAAAGACAAGCCCCCACCCCCTGGCTCCTACACAATTCACCAGCTGCACGGGTTTAGGGCGGCCCCTTTTCAAATTCTCGCTCTCGCTAGCGACATCCCCATAAGTTACCGTTGCAATGTCAGGTGGGGCTACACGCATGGTGGGCGACTGCTTTCCGCAAGCGCCTTGACATTCGCCGACTCCATATGCGCTGGTCATTCGGATGGAAGGGCCACCCTTCCTGTATGGTGTGCTCGTCCACCCCACCCACTTCCCCTGCTGGGATTGAGAATACTCCAGGATCCGCTGCAGCATGACTGGTGTTTGGCGGCCAGCCCATGCGAGGGCAGCCCTGGCAAAGGCATGGGCAAGACGAACCCCGCGCATCGACATGCTCTCGGCGGGAGCGGCGCCGAGCGGCGCCGAGGCAGCAGCGCCGCGCCTGCTTGCTGGGGCTGCAAGTCCGCTTCATCCTCCTCCTCGTCCTCCTCCTCATCCTCATCCTCATCCTCATCCTCATCCTCATCCTCGTGCTGCTGCTCCTTTTCCTCCCTGTCATGCCCCTTCCCCCTCCCCCTGGTCATGGCCCCAGTCCTGTTGCTGCTGTTACTGCTGTTGCTGCCGCTGCCGCTGCTTCGTTTCCTCCTCATCATGCTCCTCCCCCTCTTCCTCGTCCTCCTCCTCCTCCTCCTCCTCCTCCTCCTCCTCCTCCTCCTCCTCCTCTGTTTCATCATCATTATCATCATCATCATCACCACCATCACCACCACCACAATTTCATCATCAGAACCGTCACCATCATCATCATCATCATCATCATCATCATCATCATCATCATCATCATCATCATCAGCATCATCATCATCAGCAGCACCATCACCATCAGCATCATCATAAGCATCATCATCATCATCATCATCAGCAGCATCATCATTATCATCATCATCAGCCGCATCAGCATCATCAACATCATCAGCATCAACAGCATCATCATCCTCAGCATCATCATGAGTATCAGTATCACCATCACCATCATCACCACCATGTCATCACCCATCATGCTTATCATCATCAGCATCATCAACGTGATCCGCATCCTCACAATCATCGTCATCATCATCATCATCACCATCGTCATTATGAGCAACATCATCATCATAATCAGCAGCATCAGCATCCACATCATCATCATCGTCATCATCACCATGACCATCATCAGCATCATCATCATCATCATCATCATCGTCTTCATCATCATCATCAGCATCATCATCGTCTTCTTCATCATCATCATCATAATAATAATAATGGGCGTCAGCATAACCTTCCGCATCATCAGCAGTATCGTCATCATCCTCGTCATCCTCATCATCATCATCAGTATCCTCATAAGCATCGTCATCATCATCACCATTGTCATCATCATCAGCAGCATCATCAGCATAATCAGCATCATCCGCATCATCATCAACATCATCAGAGACATCATCATTATCATCATTGACATCATCATAACCTTCCTCATCATCAGCAGCAAAGTCATAATCATCCTCGTCATCCTCATGGTCATCATCAGCAACATCATCATAATCAGCAGCATCAGCATCAGCATCATCATCGCCACCAGGGACATCATCATCCCCATCATCCGCAGAAGTATCATCAACGTTCAACAACAACATCATCACAACCAACAACAATAACTCCGAAAACACCAACAACAGGAAGGGCGACAGCACAACAATGGCATCATCATCACCACCATGACCATCAGCACCACCATCGGCATCATCATCAGCATCAGCGGCAACATCATCGTCATCAACATCACCATCAACATACACCGTACATCATCACCAGCATCATCATCGTCATCGTCATCATCAACATCGTCATCTCTTTCCTCCAGGGCCAAACGGGGGACAACCCTCTGGATTTACAGCTGTCGCAACCGTACTTTTTCAATCTGTGCGTGACCACACTGCATGGTGACGCTCCATTGCGAGCTCGAGCACTCGGCCTCAGCGGCCGCCGAAGCCGGAACACCAGGCCTCCGTGAGGCCGAGAAGGCACTGCAGAAAAAATCCCACAACCTCAAGGCGACAGGAGGGGACGGTGGGTGGAAAGACTTGAGCGTTGACGGAGGATGCGATCGGCGAGAGGGCAGGCCACGCCAGCTTAGCGGCCTCCCAGAGAGCGTAGCTGGCGGTAAGAAGCATTCACCTCAGGCGGCGCCGCCCTCAAAAAGACTTGAGCGTAGACGGTTGCGGCCACCAGGGAGAGAGAAAGACGTTCAGAGAACTGCAGTACCTCACTCCTCCAGGGCCAAACGGAAAGCGGGCGACAGCCCTCTAGATTTACAGCTGTCGCAACCGTTCTTTTTCAATCTGTGCGTGACGACACTGCATGGTGACACTCCATTGCGAGCTCAAGCATTCGCTTTCGGTGGCCGCCGAAGCTGGAACACTAGGTCTCCGTAAGGCCGAGAAGACACTTCAGAAGAATCCCAAACCCATGCTGTGCTCTGGAGCCGCCTGAAGTGAAAACCTAACCTATCAAACGATTGAGGTGGGCTCCCCGCAGGGCCTCAAAGGACCTCAACAAACAGACTGCGATCGCAGCGGACAACCTCTTATGGTAGGAAGCCGCGAGAGCGGTGAAATTTATTTCCGAGCCTTGGGCTTTGCCTTTCAAGACGATGCGAGGCTTAAGACTAAAACTGCAACATCCGTGGCCTCTACAAAGAACGCTCTCGTGTCTAAGCGAAGGGACGCACCAGCATACAAATCGAGTTCTCTTGCGCCAGCGCGCCCCAAAAGCACACTGATCTACGACAAGCTGCCTACACAAGTGGTAAACCATCAAGGCCGTCATGCGCGCTTCACGCCACGTTTGGGAAGCATGCGGGTTCTCGAGGAGAACAGGAGCACGGAGCCTGATACAAGCTTGAACGAGCCTACAAGTGACCCTCATCATCGCATTCCCAATCTTTAACCGCACACCTTCCGCCGGAGTGGGGTCCGGAACCCCGCAAGGGCACCACGATTTGCGAATCTGTCGAAATAGAGCGGGCATCCAACTGCTGCAAGTGAAGGCCACGAAGACGCCCTTGACACTGCCGGACTGAATCCACCCCAAGATTGCGTTGACAACCACCGCGTTCGCACGATCAAACTCGGGGCCGTTGAGAGAGTCGAAACTGACACAGGCGACCCTTCTCTTTTTCAGACTGGTGGCGAGGGCGCCCGCGCCTGAGAACAAGCCAAAGAATATCCGATTGTCATGACTATCACGCGATGCTTTCCGAAAAAAACCTCCGAAGTTTAGTTTCAACCTGGTGAGCAGAAAGACGCCCCTCCAACCCA